TCAACACTGATTACACCACTCTCAAACAAAGGTCACAAATCTTCTTGTGATAACCACAGAGGAATAAGCATGACTTGGGTCCTGTATTCGTGTCTCACAAACACAGCACACATCCATGGCCCGAGTTTGTAGAGTCTTTGCCAACGAAGCCTGTTGACCGATTTGATGGAGGGTGCGGACATTGAAGGCTCCAATATGTAATTTGGAGCGTGGTTTAAGGAGACCAGTGATGCTATTCTGTGGACTCAAACCGTTGTCGAAGGCTACAGAGGTAGGAGAAATTGAAGATGATGTAGTATCGTTAGTTGAGAGACGTGAAGGAAGATTAGAAGGTAATGATTGAGGAGATGGATAGCAGTCTAAAGAAACTTGAGTGCTGACAGAGTTGTGAGGGCGGTTGACACTTCCCGGCTGCCCACACCGTGGAAGGCTATTTCTTCTTAAGGTACCTGGAAGAGATTTGTGTGACCGCAGAGCCCATCGGACATCTGCTTGAGGTCTGTCACACTCAGTTTTTTGAGTATGATTATTTTGAACTTTTTTATTTTTGTGGCCGGATGGTCGAAAGGAAACGACAAATGAACCAACACCGCCGGCCCGGCAGACCGTGGGGTATGGTGGAGTGTGTTATTTTTGGTGCCGACCTTTTCTGACCACCCCTTCAACTGAGAAGGCAACATCAGCATGGCACTGCTGGTCATCCAAGGGAAACACCTTAATGCTGTCACACCCCATCCAGCTAGCAGCAGTACGACTTCGCCCTCAGACCCCCATCATAGTGTAGCAATTTACACCACAACGGTAACTGCTTTTCGTCTAACCACTATCCAACAGACCTTTCTGATATGGTAGGGCCTCGAGGGAACAAGCGTTCCACCAGCATAGCTCGTTGGGTCATTGTGATATGCAAGCCCAACCACCACGTCAAGGTAGCAGCTATCGGTCGGGATCACGAGTGCAGCTCGATAACGAAAACATCAAAGACTCCTTCAGTCAGAAAGTCCCTAGGCATTTATCCAAACAGAACACTATCACTCATCCAGAAGCTTGGTGCCACCTTGAGTCTGCAGTAAAAGCAGCACTGGAGACCGTAGCCAACTCCGAAAGGGTAGCTAAAAAGAGCCAGCGGGTATCAGCAGGTTTTTCTGAATTATTGCATCCACGTGAACGCATCCATGCTGACTCGACCCAACTTAGAAGCATATTGACAAAACGCATACGCAGTGACCGCGAACAGTGGTGGGCAGCCAAAGCCAAAGAGATGGAAAAGGCAGCGGCAATTGGTAACAGCAGACAACTATTTAGATTTATTCAGGAAACTTGGAGGAAAAGGTCAACAACGGTTAGTGAAACTATAGTGGAGAACGGGTATGCGATTCACTCGCAGGGGAAAAGACTGGAGCAACGATTAGAAGGTTTCGAGTAATACTTTAACTGGCCTCCAGCTGCTGCTATTCCGTTGCGTGCTAACCAGTCGGTTCCTGGATATAACATTCAGATTGGCACATCAACACTTCCAGAACTCGGAAAAGTGGCAGATGACTTGAAATGAGGAAGGACAGCAGATCTAGATGGGCTAGTCCCTGACGTGCATAAGGACAGTGGTCGAGTGTTATCAGTCAAATACAATCCCCTCTCATTGGTCTCAACCACTGATTACACCACTCTCAAACAAAGGTCACAAATCTTCTTGTGATAACCACAGAGGAATAAGCATGACGAACATAGTGTTCAAGATCCTAGGTTCTATAATCCTCAGACTCAGACAGCTGAGTGGAGATCAGGATCAGCAAACACGAGAAAACCAGGAAACAAGACTTCAGACATGGTCGTGGGTGTATCGACCAAATATTCACACTCCACCAGGTTTTGGGAAGCACACCAACGTCCAACGGTAGCTGTATTTCTAGACCTGAACAAGGCAGTATTCAACTCCACCAACCGAGAAGTCTTATGCAAATATCTCTCACTGAAACCGATACCAAGTTAGCACGTCACCTTATTGAAGCCTCTTTACTCGAACACCTGTGCACGTGTTGAAACCTATGATGACATAACAGTCCGCTGTGTACGTCAACCACGCCCACTCTCTTCATTCTTATTCAATTTTATCATCGATGTTCTCATGCAGGTCGCCCTCTTGTCATCTGACTACACAAGAATCTACCTAATCACAGGAGAATTTTCGGTTGACCTACAATACACAGATGACACAGTCCTGTTAGGCCAAGACATCGACAACATGCAGACTCTTCTGGACACTTTGAGTGGCGATTTGAGAATGTTTGGCATGCATTTCTCACCACCCAAATGCAAATTCTTGCTCCACAACTGGTCTTCAATGGTACCCCGAATAAAAATACAGTGAAGTGGTTGAAGACTTCACTAGCCTACAATGTCGGATCAGCCCTGGTCCACTGGTCAGTGGCACACGAAATCTCTGCTCGGAAACAAAAGGTTCGGTTGGCATTTGCCAACTTACACCATCTGTGGCGCCACCGCGATTTCCGGTGGTTTATTAAAGGTGGAGTGTACTGTGTTGCAGTCCGTTCTGTTCTACTCCATGCCTATGAAACATGTCCATTAAAGGATGAAGAGATGAAAAGGTTTCAGATATTTGGCCATCGTTGCCTTCATAGCATACGCAGAAGTAAAATGTAGAGTATTAGAGGAGAGGTGAGTCAGTTGTGAACTCTCATCGACTGAGATGGCTGGGATAAGTGTTAGGTATGCCTAGCCACCGTCTGCCTCGCTCGTCACACAATGTTGCAGATGAAGCAGATTCAGGTTGGAAAAAGGCTCGGAACGGCCAGATTAAAACATGACATCAATGTATGTAGTCTTTGACTGTTCCTGTGAGCTATGTGGGGCGATACAGACTAGGTGGTTGGAGTTCACGGGACAAGAGAAACCAGTGGTTGGAGACTCTAGGTGATATGGCCCAGAACCGATGTCAGTGGCGCAGATGAATACACACATTATACTCATCCTAACCGTTATACTTAATCTCACCATTTTCTCATTCTTGCTTCTTATCTTTTAGTACTTTCTACTTCTTTCGACCGATTTTTATTTTCTTCTTCATCTTCCATTTTATTACCTTCTTACTTGATGTGCTGATATGGGGTGGGCAAGTTGGACCGTTACGCAGTAACACCTGGTCCTATGTTGATCTTGATGATGATGCGGGTTACAGAGATGATATTAGGCATCGAAACTAGTCTATTAAGGTAGATGAAAGTTCGAGTTGCTCGAATTAGCTCTTAACTATACCCGCATGATTCATCCAGTCACCAAATATTTACTCAATGGGATCTCAATGTTATATCTGATGCTATAAATAAAAATGATTTCTCTCCACTAATCAGTGGTTAGTATTTTGGTCTTTCGAAGAAGAGGATCATTTCTTGAATTCTTAGGAAGGATAAATAAAGTATACGTATCACGTTACGTGGTGCAGAGCCCTTGAAAGGACTTCCCACTTTTGTCACCTCATCCAGTTTGATAAGATCAAGATGAAACTGCTGTGATGCCCCAGTTTCGTATAAAACATTGCTATCAATCCGAACATTTTAACGTGTCATTCCCACATTATTTTTACGGTATAACTAATAGTCTATTTCTGCTCCCATTGTAATGTAATTTGCTGATTGGTTAACTTTTACTATGCGAATTTTTCCAATTGAGGACAAGGTCAGTTTACATGTGTATACTTATTCACGTGTTTTGGATTGATTCATTACTATATTATATTCTCGGAGTAATATACTCTCCCATCTGCCAGCTTCGGTTTTCTCTCTATTCGTCCCGGGTTGCAGTCAGTGACTCTTGCGTACCAAGTAGCTGTCAGCTAAGCACGCGTATTATATTCGTTTCGGAATATATACATATACCATTAGCGCTTCGAAACCATAACAGAAACAAGTCCACACACTTTTATAAAAGGACGGCTTAAACACTACCTACGAGTTCCCCAAAATGAAGCTTTTGAGATGAAGAAATAAGAGAATCTGTACGAGAGATCTTACGCTTCATAAATATCAATCCTGGTTGATTAGCACACAGCTTTTGAGTAAGCAAGTGAATCGTTAGTTCAAGGATCGTTTAATGTCCTTCCATCTTGGATTCATGCTGCTTTACAGAAATGTTTATACCTATCTATCTATCATTCAAATTTTTTACTCTCGTCGATCAACTCATGATATTAGGAAAAATGTAGGAAGGCTCATGTGTGCAAAAGACACCGTGGTATCTACAAATTTATAGGTGACTTTGATGTACGCAACAGCATTCTAGTCAGTGTGGGACCGTTGGGTTTGCCAGTCTATTCATTGAATCAAAGATTTACACCTACAGTTATTTGACTCGGGAAAAAAAAACCCAAACTAGATCTCACTAGTTCTTAACGTTTTAGGCAGTTTCTAGCTTCTTGCCTAACAAAAGGTCTATTAGTGCTATTATTCTTTATACTAAAAGTGGTATGTGTATGTGTAGTGCACGCAACTACACGCATCTACTGAACTGCAATAATCCATTTTAAAAGTCTTCCATTCAACCATATAATAAGCAATGCAGTGAACTATCAATAAAAAGTCTTTAGAAGTTATTTCATTACTCAAATGATATGGGAAACACAACAGTACCTTACTCTACAGATAGATAGGTGGCAGTTGATTACATGTAGTACTCTACTTACACCTCACGTAAATAATTTCAATAACAATGATAATATTAGTAGTAGTAGTAGAAAGAATAGATAAGTATTGCACGTACATTATTTAGTTTTTAAAGAGACTCCAAATATACAATGTTGAAAGTATCAAAATAACAAGAAAACATAAAAGACAAGGGTTAATGATTTCATTATTGGTATCATCATTAGTAGATTGTGAGTTTCAAGATGACGGCATTCCACAGATTGCTTTAGTTACAAATCAAAACATAAGGCAAACCGAGAATATTAGAATAGTGAATATATTCGTGTAAACGAATTAAATTCATTATTGTATTCTGTAAAGTGGAAGAAAAATACACAGAATGAATTATTATGAATTTTTTAATGTATAAATGTTTGGGAATTTACTTGGTTGCATAATAACGTAAGAAGGTATACAGATCGACTATTAGTTGGTAACCAATGAATCTTTTTAGTCCTAAAAATCAGTCAGAGTCTATCGGTCAAGTGTGGAGCATTACCATCGGTAGGTACCCGAATCAGAATCAATAAGGCTATCCGAGCACGATAACTGGGCTGAATCATGGTTGTGTTATGTTCTCTGAGCTGGGTTGTTCAGCCATGGAGCTTTCATCGTCTTTCTAAACGAAATCATCAGCATTAACTTCAATATGAAGTAAGCTGTCAATATATCTCCGTGAGTGATTCCGTAGTTTCCCCTGATGAATCAAGATTAACAGACTCTAAGATAAGAAATATAGACATAATCTCGGCTTAGTTATGCATACAACTACACACAACCAGAGAATAGGATGGGACAAAGTGATAATCTTTAAAACTAACCTAGTAGAGTAGAGGGAGAGATTGATAACCTAATCTTTGTTTATCGAATCAACACTAAATACGAGTGACTTTAAAGTCCACGACAGAAAACACAACATCGGTGTAACCAGAACAAATTCACAGAGTAGAACTGTTCGAAGTACACAGAAGATTTCAAAAATTACTTTTGTGGAATACTAAAACTAGGCTATACATTATTAAATGATACTCATTAGAGAGAATGTATCTTACAGGTACTCATTTTGATAAAGAAAAACCTGGTCAAAATCACCTTCTTCGACATATGTTTCACATGAGCCGCAAAGCATCATGTGATTTTCGTGAAAGCTAGTAGTTTTCTAATATGAGGTTTGGCTCTGGATAAATATATCACTGATATAAATGAACAGCTGAGTTATTTCATTAAGCTTAGCTTATACATGCATTCTGTTTCATCGAAAGTCTACTATCACCTAGAGTATTTCACATATTGCCTTCTGATTTTCTTGGGTTGTTACTTGTTAGATGAGTAAGAATTGTGTTAAACAGAAAACAAAACTGAGTAATATCCAGTCAATGAGTGTACTTATCACTCAGCTGTCACAAAATAACTCACTCGAACAACATAAAATCCCTGTGGTGTATTGAAGTTTCACCTTGTTACACCTCCTAGTAGCGCAGCGCGGTAAGAGAATATTCACATTGGTTAGCGACTGAAGAGTAACCAATGTCATGTGTATCTAGTCATAACTGTTGATCAAATTCAATCCATCTAGTTTGCAAAGCTGACAGACTCATCATCGTGATGCATTTTCTTTCGACGCTAGACAGAGAGTTGAAGATGAGTGGCAGAAAGTCCACGAATAGAGCCCACTTAGAAAACTTGGCATATTTGTGCAGTAGGCAATGGGTCATACCTATTGTATGAAGGCTAATGATACTACCTGGCTCCTCAAACCTCAGTAGGTGGAGCGATGCACAAACCCGTGACCAACTGGTTGAAAGTCAACTCCCTAAACCAACCTGAGCCAAACCTTTACAGGGTCCCAGGCATTGATCACCTGAATTCGGTTAACACTAAGGACTACATAGAAGGATACTGGTTACTTACTCTCTAGTGACAAACCGAAGCATCGATTTCAGTTCTAAAACAGAATGATTACGACCTAAATAACCCAGTGTTAACATCTTTGATTGTACTACTGGTCCCTCAGGTTACAGATATACTTTACTGAGGTAGGTTTAGCAGGAATTCTTAGAGATTACCTCGAAACATCGGACAGAATAATGTTCAGTTCTGAAGCCGACTGAGAAGAATACATCTGCAGCACTGTTGTGTCCCACAACTGACCCATAAAACCGAGCTATGCAGACGAAAAATACGCCCAGGAAGTTTTGACTACATTAGAATATTTAAATCAGCAGTAAACGATTCCACGAACTGTTGGTGCGGTATCCTTATTCGATTTCGCCGCCACCCTACTTCCAAGCTGCAAGTTACACGAGAAGGCAGCTGAGGTAATAGATAACTTGCAGGGCTCCCACTTATCTCTCAATCATTTCAAGTTGACAGAAATTCACTATTTCAAACACTGATGCAACTTTCACTGCTTAGTTATTTTACACCAAAACTCAATTTCATTCATTATTCAGTTGAAAACAGCAACTTATGCGATCTAGAAAGCAGTCATAGTTAAGCAACTAATTTTCACATACTAACTGTCACAGACATTCGCTTCTCGTATAGTATAATCGAATATGAAATATTATCCGGTTGCATGTTTAATCCTTGGTGAGAATTTGTACCTTTTGTCAGAAATGATGTAATTATCGATGGTACATACTTAATTGGGAAAAAATAGGTGAATTATTAACCCAGAATGGACTGTATCATAAGCAAAAACTTCATTAATAACAAATAAACAGATAGTATCACTTAGTAATTGGGAACTGTCTCTCAAAAATTTTAGTATCTTATCGAACTCATCCCGCTCGGTGTTTAATATCTGAAGTGTACTATAGATGAGTTTTGTTAAGGTTAAGAAAGTGTTGGTGAATGACCTGAAACCTCTGCAGAGTTTGACTACTTGGTTAGGAAAGTGAAACAACTTTTGACTTTCTCCTCATTTTTAATTTAAAAGACTCGTTGATTATTAGTCTCTATTGGTATACGGATAAAGTCCCGGCATTTAAAAAGACAGGCGATGGATTTTAGTCACAGTTGAAATACCAATACGCAATGAGATGCAGACACATTTAGCAGACGAACCCGGAATAAGAAGAAACGTGTGTTTTTAACTTCACTGTTAGTTAATACCACATATACAACAAGCATAAAGGGAAACAGGCGCTCTAATTAGGTCAATAAGTAGTCAACATAATTTTGACAGACAGGCTGTCAAGATGGGGACCCGAAAAAACTGCTTACCCGTCCCAGTTGTTCATTACACTCTAAGATAAATAAGTGACAGTAGTAGCATCTAGAAATATAGAAGGCTATCAGATAAAGGGAATAAGAAAATTTTACACATTATTGTGCACACTAATGATTAGATGAAGGAATTCTAATCACTGTAATAGATTTTGGGGCGAAACAGTTGTGAACATGCGACCATCTGCTTCATTTGTCTTGTGTGCCCTACATCTATCCAGGCAATCGATAATCCCCCAGATGGCCCAGAAGAACAGTTACAGACTTCATAGATTAGTGCTTACCTTCAACTTGAACCTGCTTTAACTAACAACTTTGCGTGTTCAGGGAGACGATGACTTGTCTAGGATAGTAATGAGAACTAGAGGAAAACCACTTATTGGGAAGGAGTAGAAAGCCTCAAATACTTCCGATAGACAGACTGAGACAGTGATCAATAGCTTTACAATATTAACACTTCAAACAATCATATGAATGGTTCAACATACGTAATCAGTTTTTTTTCACTGAAAGAAACAGGAAAAATTAGTCACAGGGAAGTAAGAACAACTGATCAATCGAATTCAAACGAAGTGTATAAAATGGTAGAAATCCTATACACTGAGATACTAGTTTTTCCAATTTCTCATGGATATTTTCATTATCCTTCACACCATCAACAATGTCAATCTTAAGCACCAATCTCAACAGAACAAGGCAAAGAATGATCACAGATTGTATATACACATACTAAGCTGCAAGATTTAGTCGTCATTCCTCCTTTCTAGACACTTTCGTCATCTTGGTGGTTGTGTTATCAGAAAGACTGAGTGAACTTCCCGATTAGACCATGCGGCTTAGACGACGCAACATAAAACCGAAAATATTCTCCAACATATTCAAGTTCTATTGGCAAAACACCGTATATACACGGTTAATATATTCACTCACGTATACTGCGAATCGACTGGCCAAACAGGCGGTTGACGATTCATAATAGTCTGTAAAAACCAATCGACTGATACTTTAACCAAAGTAGATAAAGCTTGTGACAAAGCAGAGTTGTGATTACGTGACGCTGTATTTTTCAATGATCGGGAGCTTTTCCGAAACGACTTGGCAGCCACCACACTAACAGCATCATAATCTTCTTGTGTTGTGATAATAACTGACTTCACAAGCTTTGGCTGTAAAAGAAAACGAGATTAGCAGTTGCATCAATTTGCTGTCTAATAATGAGAAATAATAGGATTCAACATCGAATAGGCTACATGAGTCACAACGGATAACATGCACTTTTTTGAGAAGATAACAATGCAATATACAAATGACTTAATAGTTAAATTCCATTGTCGTTTTTTCTAGGAACTTAATTATCCAATAGATCTGCTTCATGTTGGAAATGCGAAGAGAAAATTTGCATGATAAACACTAGTAAAAGTGGTTGGAAAGTAACTACAACACAAAGTGGTAGGCAGCACTCATACACACCAAAAGGTTCCGTCGATCAATACCATCACTAGTGATTAAGTCGAATTATTCACGGTATATAGATTCTTGTCAGTTATGGTGTAACTTAGTAATCACTCACATGTGTACAAAGTGAGGAACAACATCTACCATGCGGGCACTTACGATGAAACCTGGATGTCCAAACCTCAGCAAGTTCGACTGAGTTAAAAACCATGACTTATTATTGATGGGAAGTCAAGCATCTATCTCCGTAAGCCACAGCCACTCTAACCAACTAATAGGATCACAGAGCCACAAGCATTCGACCCTGTAATATGCTATCGGTTAGCAGTCCACACCAATTACTTACGTGTTCATTTAGTAAACATCGCAGAAACCTTGGCGATACATAATTTGAAGCCAGAGCTATGCATACAAAAAAAAATTTTTAGATCTCTTTCCTTACCATAGTCCTAGCGTGGTTAACTAATCAGGCATCTGAATATCTTGAACATGGATTACTCCTAGGTCAATATACTTTATTTCACACTACTATTAATGTTTTCGTTCTATTTACGATTCTTGATTATCGCTTATACCACAAAAACCTGTCTTACTGGAATATTGTCAGATACTACTAGATACTATACATATTAATACCGGGTGGTAATTGAAGGGGAAATGAAAACCTGGATAACGGCCTGATTCGGATCAGCGACTACCGGGTTTCCCGCCCGATGCTATACCAACTCAGCTACGAGGTCCGACTGCTGATCAGATTTTTATTTCACTTCAATCACAAAGGGTTTTGCCCGATTACCATCTTCATTCGTGAAGCATTGCTACCGCTTGGTCGCATTCACACTGGCTGCCTAAGTCAGGACTTCTCATTCCAATCGAATAAGAGGGGAGTATCATATTTTTATTTTACCTTCAATCACCACCCAGTGTATCGATACTAGTCTGCCAGGCCACGGCTATCCCAAATGCATATTAGATTTACAGTCATTGTGTGTTGGTTTTTCACGAGATATAATGATAGTGGGTTGTGTTTGAGGAAATCGATACATGATTCCGTCAGTAGGATAAGATTTTGCGAAATATGGAAAATAAATGGGAGCGTTTGGAAGTCACTGTAGTTTCGTTAATGTAAGGTAAACATGACAACAGTGAGTAATATACGATTGTGCAGGTTCGAAAATAAATTCGTTGGAAAGGATTTTCTTCGCTGAATTATCTCTCCTATGATTTAGTAGGTATATTGAGTGTAATAACTTTTTCTTACAGTAATCCACAGTTCCACCGTTAAATCAGATTAATACAAAGAGTCTGTTGTGTGCGTGTCTGGTAATCACTAGTCATCCTATTGAAAATAAGGTGTTAGAATATATATTCAGAATGTTCTTTTTTACTAGAAGATATAATTAAAAAAGTAGAACTGAAAGACTGTCATTGGTGATCAACCTCAATACATGGTACGAACTTACGACCTTTGCATGACGACCTGTACTGTATAGAGAACTGTTGGCTTCAAAGTTCGAGTCATTTGGAGTCTGAAATCAACGGGAGAAGACACGCGGCAACAAACAATGTAAGACTTGGCGTTGCCGTGCAAAACAGCCTCATTTAACAGCAGCGCATTGATGTGGGAGTCAAGAAAAAGAAAGCAGTGGTTAGAAAAACAGTGGCTTCAGTAGTGCAGATGCAGAACACAAGGATCATCAGTGATTCATTATGTAGAAAGAATTCTTGAACATTTTGAATACATTTTAGCTTAAAGGATAGATTCCTATCACACTGACATAGGATGAAGATGTCAGATATGCTAGCATGATAAAAACCATATCTGGAAATTGTGAAGTTACCTTGATACGACTATGGACAATACATTATGCTCGAAACGTAATCCAATAGTCAATAGTACTCTTTCGCTGTGTGATACATCGAATGAATCAACTGAACTGGAACCATTACACTATACTGACTGTACTCGCCGACAAGAGTATCTGATAACTAGATAAAATTGTGGTCATGGCACGACAGAACTAGCAGCTTTCAAGTTATTTGTCCACTGCTAAAAAGACTAAGCCACCAAGTGGCCCAACAGTTTACAAGATGGTAAGTCTTCATGGAGATCCAAAATCTGTGGACTGTCCTCCTTAACGCTGTTGCTTAGTATCTTGAATTGAATAATCACCATCGAGTAGATTCCTAAGGCAGCAATCTAGCTATACTCTGACATCAAAACTTTAACAGACAAGAAACACATTTAAAAATTGGATGTGAATACCGTCTTACAGAAAAACTATCACTTACTATATGATTATTATTAATTGGAAAACTTCTTACCGAGCTATTGACACAATTCATTAAATCCTCATCAGACATCCAATACCCTCCAGATAGTTCAGTTAGTTTACGCAAGTCAGATAAAGGAGGTACAACATTCTGTGTACAACAGAAAGACCAACCAGACAGAAAACCATCTGTTTCACCATTGTCTCCAGTTTCACTAGTTTGTAATCTCCGTGATAGCTGCACAGAGGCACGTTTTGATGACCGCCTACTTGGAACTGGTCGATGTACAGGCTCTGAATAATAGTGGAGCATGAAGTTTAATGGATCTGAGAAAGAAATTTAAAACAATTTGTACACAATAAGCTTGCTAACAACATTTAAATTTACTGTTAATTTAGTTTAGAAAAAAAGGAAAGATAGACAAACAGAAAGAAAAAACATAATGTGCAGGATTTATTATGAGTAACAGTCGGAGTTGCCACATTTCACATGATCACATCACAATATAAATATAAGACAAAGACGAAAACTAGACAAATGCAAATAGTTGTCAAAAAGTAAGTAGCTCAGTGAAGAAAGATATCTGTACAATCAATCATTTTCAATAACTGTACAGTTGTATTGATAGTAACAACAAACAAGCAAATCTATTCTCGGTTAACAGATCAACACTGAGTCATCTAATATGAATATCATCATCATTATCATCATTATCAACATAGGACCAGGCATTACTGCGTAACGGTCCGAGTTGCCACACCTCATATCAGCACATCAAGTAAAAAGGTAGTGAGGTGAAGGATGAAGATAAGTGAATGCAGTCAAAAGAAATATAAAGTACGAGAAGAAAGGGAAGAGGAGTGACAAAATAGTGAGATTCGGTATAGCGTTGTTAAGATGAGGATAATGTGTGTATACATCTGCGCCACTGACTTCGGTTCTGAGCCATATCACCTAGAGTCTCCAACCACTGGTTCCTCTTGTCCCGTGGACCCCAACCACCTAGTCTGCATCGTCCTACATGGCTTAAACCAACAGTCAGAGACTTCATACATTGGTGCCATGTTTTAGTCTGGCCACCTCGGGCCTTTTTCCAGCCTGAACCCACCTCAGCCAACATTATGTGACAAGGCATACGTAGTACGTGTCCCAACCATCTCAATCGATGAAGGTTCATAACCTCGTCGATTGACTTACCTCTTCTCCCCAAAACTCTACACCTAACTTCTGCATTACTCACGTGGTGACACCACAGAATACGTCCTATACTACGAAGGCAACGGTGGTCAAACACCTGAAGCCTTTTTGTATCCTCCACTTTCAATGGTCATGTTTCACAACCATACAGTAGAACAGAGCGGATTGCTGTGCAGTACACGCGACCCTTAATAGACAAACGAATATCACGGCGGCGCCATAGGTGGCGCAAATTGGCAAAAGCCAATCGAGCATTTTGTATCCGTGCAGAAATCTCATCGGCAACTGACCCACCGGAGTTGATCCTACTTCCCAGGTAAGTGAAGTGGTCAACACACTCAACCACTTCACTCTCTATAATATGAATATTCATCAAAAGTCGTCGGATGAACACAAAAGGGGCTATAAAAATGATGAAATGTATCATTAAAATGTAGATGAAGATAAGGCACCAAGGTGGCTGCACCACTCCACCCTACTCTAAGCTATATCACACACACGATATAACAACCGCTTCCGACTATCATGCGCTACATAAACGTAAAATCCATGTTTTTGAAACAACTAAGACAAGTAGTTGGAGACTGTACATGATGGTACCATGTTTAACTTAATTGCGGAATTACATCATCGCTAAGGAGGGGGTCGCTGACAAAATTTCAGCTCGAATACAGAAGGCCCGTTGGGCATTTGCCAACTTGTATCACTTGTGGCGAGATAGCCGACTATCTAGCAAAAAACGAGTATACTTTGCTGCAGTTCATTCTGTCCTGTAGCACGGCTGAGACATCGACGTTAAAACCAGAAGACATGAAGCGGTTTTAGGGTTTTGATCACAAGTGTCTTGCTCGGCAGCATTGCTCACATGTGGTGGAATCACTGTATGAGCAATGTTGAGGTCAGGTGAAGGGTACTGAGCAAAACAGGCAAGTTGGTTGATAAGGTTGTGAACCTTCATCAACTGAGGTGGCTCGAACATGTGCTGTGCATGGCGAGTCGTGCTAGGGGAAGTTGGATGAGGTTGGAAGAAGGTTTAGGGTGACCAAACCAAGACATGGCACCAGTCGATGAGGTCTCTGACTGTTGGTGTGAGCCATGTGGGGACATGAAAATTGCCTGGGAAACTAGTATTTATACTATAGTATAATACAGTATAAATACTAGTCTGCTAAACTATGGGTATCTCAGATAGTCAAAATGATAAAACAATTCATTGTAGGTCAATTCATGCTACGCTTTAGGGCTTCAGACAATATATAACACGCGTCACAAGAAAGACAGTAAAATAAACATAGAACCTGGCACAGAAGTCTATCGTTTAAAGTTACCACGAACAATAAGTGGAGAGAAAAAGATTGACATGAAAATAAACTAAGGTATATTGGAGGAGAAGGTAATAAAAAGATGAAAGTTAATAAGGATATTCACGATTGGAAGATCATAAAGAGTGTTTAAATCTTCATAGAGAGTCATCTGTTCCCTGGTTTGCGTTCACAGCCTCTGTCAGGGAAGTCCTATTCACTCCCTTTATGTAGCCAGCGAAAGCAAATATTCGGCGCTTATCTTCCAATTCAAGAAAAGGGAGTGAAGTGGTGGAACGTGTCGACCACTTCACTTACTTGAGGAATCCCATCAGCCCGAACGGGCTAGTTGCTGATGAAATCTCAACAGGGATACAGAAGGCCCGTTTGGGACTTGTCAACTTGCGTTATCTGTGGCGCCGACAGGCGAGATATCTAAGTACCTATCAAAGGACAAGTATACTGCACTCCAATCCGTTCTTCCCTGTTATACGACTGAGATATGGCAGTTAAAAGCAGAAGACACAAAACGACCACAGATTTTTAATCACAGGTGTCTTCGCAGCATTGCTTGCGTCTGATAGAATCACCGTGTGAGCAATGCTGAGGTCAGATGAATGGTACTAGGGAAGACAAGCAAGTCGATTGATGACGTTGTGAACTTTAGACAACTGGGATGGCTAGAAAATGTGCTGGGCATACCGATCCACCGCCTACCTCAATGTGCAATGCTAGGGGAAGTTGGATGAGGTTGGAAGAAGGTTTAGGGTGGCCAGACCAAGGCATGCCTCCAATTCATGACGACCCTGACTGTTGGTGTGAGCCATGTGTGGAAATGCAGACTGCCTGGCTGGGGTCCCCGAGACAATAGGAATCAGTGCTTGAAAACTCTTGGTGACGGCAGAAAATCGGTCACTGTGGCGCAGATGTATTCACTCTATATTTTCCATTGTTTGAATGTTGAGACTGGTCTTAATTTTTAGATTCTCTCTCATAACACCTTTTTCTGCTTTGATATCAGTCTTTATCATCCACTAGTTTTGCACTAACCGTTATCTTCAAATTGTTTATTCTCTAATACAACTTTGTTCACTTTGATATGACTTTTTCTATCCACTTGTTGTTTTTATTCTACTGTGAAGTGTGGCAACCTAAACCAATGCACTTGTGTATGAGGTTTTAGGTTGATTTTATATGTCTACCGACACCGGCATACCGCAGGGTGAAGGGGAGAGTATGTCCTCTTGTGATTCTCTTCCCCATGGATAAGATAGCATCAGCATGGTCATCCATGGGGAACACCTTACTGATGTTACCCCGTTCATCCAGAAACATGACTCCGTCCCCTCCCTTTCAAAATAACGTAGTAATTTATACTACAACGGCAATTAACCAACAGAAATTCCTGTTGAGGGAGAATATGTTTAACTAGTATAGATCGTTGAGTTATTATGGCGTACCAGTCTGACCTTTATTTCAAGGTAGCAGCTATCGGACTATATGCTTTTCAACTGCAGCCAATTCTCTTTCTTTGGTAATTGAGATTGGAATTCTTTTTTCATCGGTACTATCAGTAACAGGAACACTTCGGTCACATAAGTGCACTAGACTATAGCCGTATATTTCTTACTTCTCATCTGATACATTGCCATTGATTATAATCAGTCCAGGTGTTTGAATATAAAGGCTTCTGAAGACTGATTTAAATATCAGACATTCCATTCAGTAAGAGACACCACCATAGTACCTCCATTGATAAAGTTGAGTATCATTTTCAGTTTGATAAATACAGATGGCATCTGACACCGGTAAATCTGCTCAATATACCTACGTTCACTTCTTCCGAGGCTTAGATCTCCTAGAATGTTGGTTTCTTTGTTTTTTTCACGCAAGGATATCTTTCCTTTCTTGAAGACCGGAAGGCTAAGTGTAAGAACACGATGGAGTTCTGCGTAGGATGGAACATTATACAGTCGATGAAGTAAGTAGCTGTACTTCAATGAAATCAAACACGAGTTGGATATTAAATTTGAATCGATGAGAGCATGTACGGTGTAACAAGCTTTGCCCACTAAACTCTCACCCTTTCAATCTGTAGGTTGACAACAGGTGGGTTTCACTGTCAAGTTTTTCAGTTACGACAAAGTTGCGAATTGAAGCAGTTAAAAATTGATTACTTTTTTGAATACCAAATTTTAACAGGAATTAACAGCACGACGCAAGACAATCAACAGTTTTGGAATTTTTGGGGGCATTGTTTTTTATCTTTTGTTCTTGATGTAGCTGCAAATGATCCAAAAGGTGAGTGAACTATCAGGCAGATGAGGTATGGATTTTTGTTTAAAGTATTCCAACTTCAATCATTGAGTTTCAATAGACTCGTTCCAATCACCCAAGTGGTATTTAACAGGTATAAAGCACTAATAACTGAACAAATTCAGTTTTCGTAGTATTCTAGTCAAGAGACACTGATAGCAACTTATTGCTTGCTTTTTTCAGAAATAGACAACAAATTCGAAGTTAAATCTTCTATTCTATTGCTGATTCATTAAGTAGTTTCTTCTTTTCTCCTATCAAGAGTGGTGGCTAAGTCATCCTGAAGTGTTATCGCGCTTGTTACGACGTTCTGTGTGAAAATGTGTACTTTCTGTGTTCCGTACGCCTATTTTACCTACTTTATTTTTTCTGTGCCGTCTGTAATGTAATCGTGTTTCATACCAATAATGGATAGTGGCTAGCACTAAAATCCAGGACGTGCGTTTCGTCCTATTTGGGACTCTCAGCTGGATGTACCTGCCTCCCATTGAGAGATATTGTTTCCAATAACGCTGGAACCCAGGACCGACGGTTTAAACAGCAGAGTGTTATCCACTAGGCCACGATAGCCATTTATTGTGCGACGTGTTTCATACCGTTTATTTATGTGCATGGTATTGGCTGCACTTCTACTTCCTAGGTGGAAACAAAGTGGAGGTATCTATGAAGAATGATGCTCACAAATCAAAGTGAGTTAATTGACTGACGCTTCGAAATGCAGCAAAACGATTTATGACTGGAGTTCTCACTTCAAAATGTATGTGCATACAGAACACAGAAAACACTCAGTCACATTGAATACCATAACACCTAGGAGACGACTATTAAACAATCCAGCCATTCGAAAGAATGAGTTACCAAAACTCTAGGCCGATCTTGATGACACCAGAAATGGGGTCGGACAATTATGTAGACAAATCAATCAACAAGAATGTGTCAAGTACTCTACTTTAATTATGACTACAGACATTATCAATTCATTTAATTTGAATGATAGAGAGAGAAAAGGCAGAAACGATAAAAACAACCACATGATAACTGCTAGTAACAACTAAAAGCTTAGGACATATACATAAACACAGGATATATATACCTACCTGGATTAGGACCCTTACGACTGACTTTACACGCCTTCAACCACTCAACAGAGATAATTGGAATACCACGTGCTCTTGAGTACAGTGTCTTTAGTGTACGCTTTATTTGGTCTGTAACCAAGTAATTAGCAAGCATGGAATCTTCAGTTTCACGAGCACCTAATTTCTGCAGGGTACTTGCATAGGAAGACGATTCGATACCACTGAAGAGCAAGTGGATAAGACTAGTCTGTATGGGAATAAGAATATAAATAAGAGAATAAGTTACAATGAATTATTTACCTCAAAAACAAACCCAGTCCACCATGAGCACCAGATAGTATGCTGAGTGGTGTGATGACTTGTATCGTTTCATCCAGAAAGTAGCATCACATCAATACATGAAAGCCTAGCACAGTTATCATTTATCTCATTAAGTTGAATCACAGACTAACACCATAACTACTTCATCAAAACTAGTCCCAAAATCACTCTCAACAATCAATGGAGTAGAAGGCATCTTTAACTGTATCTACCAATTTACAAGCTTGTTATATCGGTAGGACTGGGAACACATTTATGGCGTCTCGAGGAGAAATAAACCTTTCAGTAGTGTAATAAACCAAATATCCAGTGACATATAGTGTGGGTTCAGTTAATATTTCAAGGACTTGAAGACACTTAACTGACAAAAAAATGCCGAAATTGTACTCCTTAGATGCACCATGTAATTACATAGCCCTTTACACGGTATTAGTTGCAGTGCTTACTTTGCATCCCTAAGAGTTTTTTCATCTAGTAGCAGTATGGGAACTAACAGGAATTTAGGTGTGATGAGACACTCTGCACTTTCTGTGCTCAAAGGACTACTGCTGAACAACCACACAACTTGGTTGTTTACTTCTTTTACAAACGATCAGTGTAAGTCTAGGCAGTTTGAAGCGAATACCCAGTCAGAAAAACTAGTTCATATTTGTACAATGTAAGGTTAGTTAGTAAAAAAGAAATGAATAGTATCTACAAATAAACAGACTGGAAAAGATGCTTACACCACTAGTTTTTGATGAAACTGAAGAAGTGTTGATACATCCAGAGTAATTGTTTCAGATTTAATCATAGTAACACCATAACGATGAATACTCAAACGAGATGATTTACGAAGCGGCATTGCAAGAGGATCACTTTGGACACTTGTTTCAAGTCTTCGCCTACGCATATTCCTTTGATTTGGCTTCCTTGAAGGAGCCACTTTGTTTTGTCTATGCAAAAGAGAATTCTTCTGATTCAGTTCATTATTACAGTTTTTGTCTTTAAAATACTCATTTGAAGGTGAACGATGCAGGTTCCCAAAGCATGTTTCATCACAGTCTTCATTCGATTGTATTGATTTTCTTTTACGCTTCAGCAAGGCTTCATTCACCGATGAACCAACTTCATCCTGAGATGTGGAAGAAACAAAAGGATTAGATTGTTCACCAGTTGCTTTAAACTCATCTCCAAAGGATTGGTCTGCTTGATCAATGTTCAAACTAGCAGAAATTTTAGCCTGTAATGAACAAGCTTTGAGATCAAAAAATAGTCGTAGGAACAACTGTCCGTTAACTGTTCTAACTGAACCACCTATATTCAAGATCTCCATAACTGGTCAATCCCGCATGGGAGAATGTATACAAGTTATATAAACTAGAAACAGCTGTAGGAATGAAAAGACAAATGCCACTATTCTGACGATCTGTCAAAGGTTTCACCTTCGTTTGTAATCGGTCTTATCATTAGCTGCTAGAACCGTGAAGTGATAGCACAGCTGAAGGCTTCATTACAGGGTAACTTTATGTGGGAAAACACTTCATTTCCTCAAACTCAATGAGACGTTGAATGATGCATAGTTGTTCACTTCGATCATCGTATCTCTGCACTTAGTGTTCAACATTTCCTCCACACACTTAAAGTCAATGTAGAATTTTACAGACTAGTAATTTTGGTGTAGCCTTCCTAAGACTTATTCATTCAACTCATATTTCAGTCAGTACAGTCTATTGACGTGAATCGTCACTGAGTACACGTAAGTGGGATTGTAGTTCACTAAGTTCCGAAGTTAGACTGCTGACTACTGCGATATGGCTTCGAAAAGTATGGGACAAACGGATATCACTCCATATTCAACGAGTACAACATTTCAAACTGCTAAGTAGTATCTACCATATCACTAATGTTGCATTTCGTGATTTACTGCTAAAACTGGATTACTACGCACAGGTAGTGGGAGTTGACAACTTTCAAACTTTGTTTTTTCCCTGTAACTTTGTGCTCATGTAGACCAGCTTACTTCACACACAGGTCATTACTATGATAAGCTCGAACATCAGAAAATCCAAGCACTCAAAAGTGAAAATTTGTAGAGAGTTTTAGCAGGTTTCTATGCTTTCAGTTTTCAGTACTAAAGCAACAGTCACATCTCAGAGTTTCACCGAAGCAAAATATTTTACCCGATGGTTAGATCAAATGAAAGTGTCTCTTGGAAATCATCGCCACTACACGGATAACCAATGAAAAACAGTAAGACCTATCTCTTAAAATGGTACAATAGAATGGCATTGTCATCAACCCTGGTGCACTAACTTCTACGTAGTGGATGAATTGCATTATAGTTATCATCAGCAAACGTAATAACCAGCTCGAATAGTATCCATACCGAGATATATACAGTCGTTCGAAGAGGTTTTCGAGCTGTCTACACCTACCGGATATGGCTAGGAAACGAGCAAAATGATCACATTTCATTTTCACTGGCGAATCAGCCATTTCAAGGCATTTTTTCACAATTCACGAAAAGCCATGAAAAATAGCAACGACAACTACAGCCTAAAAATAGCGATGCGAAACAGCACAGAACACATTAAACAGAGACTAAACACCAAGCAGCTCACAATTGATATTTTTAAGTAGACTGAAGATTTTTTGATTGTCGTATCTTAGAGTTCTCTTTCCCTTCACGTGAAACACTTGCAGTAAGGCGATCATCAGGTACTGGCTGCTTCTCTCCGAGTCCCATGTCACAACACACCTCTTGATTACTTCTGTTACTACGAATAGTAGTAGTATTCACATGGCTAGATTTAACCTCTTCATCTCCAAGTGAAACAACTTCCTGTCTAACATCATCACCCCATTCCTGCGAAAATTTAATATCAAAGCATTTCTTCGGTAATGCATTATCCTGCAAAGTAAACAAAGATGAAAATACAGAGAGACAAGACAAACAAATCAACGAAGAACATCGGATACAAGTGCGTCAGTTCAAGTTGTCGCAATTTACAGTCACATACATTGAACAGGTGGGTAAGAAAGACTGATATAAAAGTATATAAAGAGAATGCGGGAGATAAAATTTAAAAATTAAAGTTGGCCAAAACATGCAAGTGTTGGAAGACACCAAACAGTGAATAAATCAGCACCATCTCATAAAGAGTTTTCAACCACGAATTTTTATGGTCTAAGCGATCTTAGCCGAGTAGTCTAAACCTCCCTACAATGGCTCAGATATAGTCAGGGAATTCATAGACTGGTGCAATGTCTTACTCTGGCCAACTCGAACCCTATTCCAATTTAATCGGGCTTCTCCTAGCATGACATATCGAGGTAGGCCGTGGATCTATATGAGCACTACATGTCCAAGCCATCTCAGTTGACTAAAGTTGAAAGCGTCATCGAGCGACTTATCTTCCCATCCTGAGCCTTCGTATGACTTTAACATTGCTCATATGGTGATTCCATCGAACCAGAACAATGCTACGAAGACACCAGTGATCAAGGACGTGTAACCACCTAACGTCTTTTAATTTCGATGGCCATGTCTCAACCGTTTAACACGACAGAACGAATTAGAGGGCAGTATACTCATCCTTTGATAGGTAGTTAGATATCTCGCCAGTCGGCGCCACAGGTGATGCAAGTTGGCAAATGCGAAACAAGTCTTCAGTATTCCAGTTCAGATTCCATCATCAACCAGCCCACTTGGGTTGAGGCATCTTTCCAAATAAGTGAAGTGGTTAACGTGTTCCACCACTCCACTCCCTATACTTGGAATAGGAGTCACTGCAGACCATTTGGGAAGTGTCTTAAAACATCTAGTAGGTGAGAAACGTAGGCCTTACAAATATACTGGGATTTCTGTTAAATGTGATCGGACCCTCTAATCGTCCTCACCAAGCAGGACAATATTGTCTGCGTACTCCAAATCAATCAGATGCCCTTCGGGAAGTAGGTCAGTCCGGTGTGAAGTCAGACCTACCTAAGGTTATGCCTATTACTGCATCTGTGACGAAATTAAACTGGAATAATGGTGGACGCCAATAGTTGTCGTCAATTCTGATGACAACTCTCGATTAGCCTTTACACGGTTGAGTGGGTTCGAGTTGAGATTCTGGGTTAGTTTATGTACTTGTGTAGTACTCCTTTCATCATCAGAGACTGCCACAACACCTCACAGTCAACAGAGTGGAATGTCGTCTTCAGGTTGACAACCATGGCGACAGTCGAATACCGGTAAGTGTGCCTACGTTGTAAGACCTGTCTTATTGTCTTCGAACATCAGTTAAGCGCCGGATAACTACGGACCCTTGAGTCCTGGGCACGTTATTAGTTAAACTGATTTCCCTATGGTTGTCACAGGAATGCTTCTCCCATTTTCTATAAAGTAGAATGATCAGTGGAGTAGATCAGTTCGAGAGAGTACCTTCGATTATCATACACTACATAGCACCTCCTATACTCTACTCAGTAACTTCCCATATCAACCTTTGATAACAGGATAGTGAACAGTCAGGACCAGCTGGTTTTCATCGTTTCAGGTTCCATACTGCTATTTCAGCTTCGAAAAGATTTCGAGGACCGATATCTACGTCCCGCTCAGATTCAGACTGCATGTTGGGAAACTACGCGTTGCCGGAGGCCATTTGAACTGTGCTCCAAAGTGTTCTGTCCAACGTTCTAACCAGCTGTTCTGGGAAGTTATCAGCGTCCCATTATTTTCGGCGACGGTTCCACTCATCATCTTGCCGTTATCCTTAAAAAGCTTAAATAGTTGGTGGGTGTTAAATGACTCTGATGCCTTCTCCATCTCTCCAGCCCTCGTCACCCACAACTGCTCGCTGCCGTTGTGAAGACTTGGTCAGTTTACGTTCCAGTTGCTTTCGCTCTTCACCACGGTCGGAGCCAGCCAACTGGAATGAGTCTCCTCGTATTAATCAATTTGAATGGCATCGTGGAAATCCACCGGCGTTTGCTAACCTTCCGAGGTAGATTGCCATCTATCTTTACCGTTATCTCTACACCAGACTTAATATCACGCCGGTTTCTTCAGGGTGAGCATTACTATCACGTTCAGAGAAATGCAGACGAAAATACAGCCTGAAACAAAATGTACTAGCAGTAATAGCCAGAGGAAGGAGATAAATATTGTCCTCTTAAAAACCATTACATATTAAAATGTATAAGCAAGCATATTTGCAGACAGTTTGTGATGAGTGTAGACAACGTGTAGAAAGGCATGTTAGAGTTAGGTTTCATCTCTGCTAGCGTTCATCAAAACAGTGAGGCCTCAACCACGACTTGGGTGATAATGTTCAAGCTCTAAGAGACTTCAATGAGTGAATTCATCAGCGTTATTGTGATTAATTTTCTGCAATGTTTCCAAGAATCTCCAACTATTGATTCGTCCTCTCGATGCCAGACCGATAGCTGCTAACTTGTCGTGGTGGTCGGAGTTGTATATCACGACGGCAACGAGCGATCCCTGTGGAACGACTGTTCCCTCAACGACATACCATACCATAAATGTCTTTTGGATACTGGTTCGAAAAAAACCAGTTACCCTTACCCTTAACATGTTCTAAAATAAAGAAGAGATGATGCACTATGTTAGCTTAGATTAGTCACCAGTGGTTAGTGGCGATCAAAAGACACAGGACGTTTATCCAACTATATCTTCCATAACAAAGGCCAATTGTCGTGACCGGCTTTAAGCAGATTTCTCCTGGGTTCTGCGTTACGAAATAAGCCTTCTTTCTCAGGTGCCACAGGAACACCTATCTTCCCACGGTGTGGGCGACCGGGAAGTGTCAATCGCCTACACAACTCTATCTGCGCTCAAGTTTCCTCATACTAGCATTCGCCTCCTTCATCCATCCTTACTGTCTAATCTTCCTTTACATCTCTCAGCTACCCATCCTCAATCATCCTTAATTTCTTCTACCTCTGAAGCTTTTGACAACGATTTCAGTCAACAGAACAGCATCCTTGGTCTCCTTAAACCACGCTCCAAACTACACATCGGACCGTTTAATGTCCGCGCCATACGTAAAATTGGCCAAAAAAGCTACATTGGACCAAAATCTAGCTGTGTTTGTGAGACGGGCATACAACACCCAAGTGAGGTTAGTCACTAAACTGCATTCAGCCCATATAGTGAAACTGCACCCTTCGAGTTTCTGGAGATTCTATGGCTAGTTTTCGAAGCCTTTCAGGAGTAGGCATAGCAGCAAACATCAGAACAGAAAGCTCACTACAACACTGCATCCCAGTTGAAAGTCATCCATCTATGCACTATCTCGCTGAACTCCACAGTGAGAACTGAGGAAAATAGTGAGACCCGCCGTTGTCTCCTTCTAACCTCTGCTCACCCACCCACTGACTGCAGTTTGGATGAGTTCCACCCAAAACTGTCTACCCTCCTTCTAAAAGCAAAACGTTCAGACGTCGTTGTTATTGCAGGTGACTTCGATGGACTAACGGATAGGTTGAGTTTAGCAGAAATGCACTGGCGTGGTACTTTCGGAATCCCGACTGAACGAACAGATAACGGTGATCACCTATTACAATTGTGCTCAAATAACCGCCTATTTTTAGTTAGCACCAATTTCAGACATAAAGAAAGACACTGTCTGACGTGGCGTCCACCAACCTCAACTCAGCGATGAACACACAAAGATCACCATGCTATCAGTCGTCGCTGGGGAGGATCAGTGTAAGACTGTCACTCCTTCTACACCACGTGTTTGGATAGCGATCATGCGTTGGTTCGAGTGCATATATGCCTGCGTCTCAACGAACGTAAGAAAAATCTGGCAACACAACCCTTACGAGTGCAATCATCATCATCATCATTCACAACATAGGACCAGGCATTACTGCGGAACGGTCCGAGTTGCACAGCTCAGTACAGTACATCAAATAGAATGGTAGTGAGGTGAAGGATGAGGATAAGAGAATGCAGTCAAAAGAAATATAAAGTACTAAAAGAGATAAACGCAGAATGAGAAAGTGGTGATATTCGGTATAGCATCGTTAAGATGAGGATAACGCATGTATACATCTGCCCAACTGACATCGGTTCTCACCCATTTCACCTACAGTCTCCAACCGCTGGTTCCTCTTGTCCCGTGGACCCCAACCACCTAGTCTGCATCGTCCTACATGGCTTAAACCAACAGTCAGAGACTTCATACATTGGTGCCATGTTTTAGTCTGGCCACCTCGGGCCTTTTTCCAGCCTGAACCCACCTCAGCCAACATTGTGTGACGAGGCAATCGGTGACTAGGCATACGTAGTACGTGTCCCAACCATCTCAGTCGATGAAGGTTCACAACCTCGTCAACTGACTTACCTCTTCTCCCTAAAACTCTACACCTAACTTCTGCATTACTCACATGGTGACACCACGGAATACGTCCTATACTACGAAGGCAACGGTGGTCAAACACTTGAAGCTTTCTTATATCTTCCACTTTCAATGGCCATGTTTCACAGCCATACAGTAGAACAGAGCGGACTGCTGTGCAGTACACGCGACCCTTAATAGACAAACGAATATCACGGCGGCGCCATAGGTGGCGCAAATTGGCAAGAGCCAATCGAGCCTTTTGTATCCGTGCAATAATCTCATCGGCAACTAACCCACCAGGGTTGATCCTACTTCCCAGGTAAGTGAAGTGGTCAACACACTCAACCACTTCACTCTCTATTGTTAACCGCGGTACCGCTGAAGACCAGTCCTGGAGCAAAAATTTGCATTTGGGTGGTGAAAATCGCATCCCAAACATTCTCAAATTCCCACTCAAAGTGTTCAGAAGACTCTGCATCTTGTCAGCGTCTTCACCTAACAGGACTATGTCATCTGCATATTCTAGATCTAAGGAAAATTCACCTGTGATCCGATC